TTATAAAAAAAAAAAAAAATTTTGAAAAAATTTTTTTATACAACAGTTCTGTCACATGTTAATTGTCATTCTGTCTATTTCGAAGAGTCATTCTCTCTATTTAAGCGATTAAAATCAACACAGATCCAAAAATAAAAGAGATATGTACTTAAAACAAAATTTGAAAAATTGGTTACAAAAGCACATATCTTCTTATGTAGCCATCCAATCGCATTTTCACCTAATACTTTTCGTCAGGACTCGTCGAGAACTGCCCAGAACGCCGATCAGTACTGAGTACTCTCAAAAAATTTTCGACGTCGAACTTAGAAAATTTTCAACGATAGAGATCAAATGTTCCAATATCTCGAAAACCGTTGGCTCAGTCGCTTTGTCACCTGATACTTTTCGTTAGAGCTCGTCGAGAACTGCCCAGTACGCCGATCAGAACTACTGAGTACTCTCAAAAAGTTTTCAATGACCTTTCCCAAGTAGCGTATCTCGGAAACCGTTCACTCAATCGCTTTGTCACCTGATACTTTTCGTCAGAGCTCGTCGAGAACTGCCCAGAACGCCGATCAGAACTACTGAGTACTCTCAAAAAATTTTCGACGTCGGACTTAAATTTTCAATGATAGAGTTCAAATGTTCCAATATCTCGAAAACCGTTGGCCCAATCGCTTTTCGAAAAGTATCAAGTGACAAAGCGATTGAGTGAACGGTTTCCGAGATACGCTACTTGGGAAAGGTCATTGAAAACTTTTTGAGAGTACTCAGTAGTTCTGATCGGCGTACTGGGCAGTTCTTGACGAGCTCTAACGAAAAGTATCAGGTGATAAAGCGATTGAGCCAACGGTTTTCGAGATATTGGAACATTTGATCTCTATCGTTGAAAATTTTCTAAGTCCGACGTCGAAAATTTTTTGAGAGTACTCAGTACTGATCGGCGTTCTGGGCAGTTCTCGACGAGCCCTGACGAAAAGTATTAGGTGAAAATGCGATTGGATGGCTACATAAGAAGATATGTGCTTTTGTAACCAATTTTTCAAATTTTGTTTTAAGTACATATCTCTTTTATTTTTGGATCTGTGTTGATTTTAATCGCTTAAAACTCTTCGAAATAGACAGAATGACAATTAACATGTGACAGAACTGTTGTATAAAAAAATTTTTTCAAAATTTTTTTATTTTTTTTTATAAATTTTGTTGTGTGTCAAAATTGTTTTTTATGTATTAGGAACTCTAGGTATTCACAAAATAAAGCTATTAAGCTGCTCAGAACTATTCGAGCTCGAATTTCGATAAAAAGTTAGCACTCTATTTTTTAAAAATTGTTTAAAAATTGTTTAAAATTTGTTATTAAGGGAATCTCGAGTTAAAAAGTACAGAGAACTCTTCGTATCGTTGAAAGGAAGCAGGAACTCTATTCAGAACTATTGTATCTAAAAATTGATTTTTCAAAAATTTTTAATTTTTTGGGGATTTTTCAAAAATTTTTTTTATGTATCAGGAACTCTAGGTATTCACGAAATGAAGCTATTGGGCCGCTCAGAACTATTGGATCTCGATTTTCGATGAGAAGTTAGCACCCCATTTTTTTAAATTGTTTAAAAATACTTATTAAGCGGAACTCTCGTTATAAATTATATAGAACTCTTTGTCTCGTCAAAAATAAACGAGAACTCTAATCAGAACTCCTGAGTACTATAGTTGGGGTGCTAATTTAACATATCCCTCTATTTCATCAGATTCATTAATAACCTGATTTTCTCCCGCAATGTCCAGTTCGTAATTCAGGGATCCTTATCTCCGGTTTTTTTTATACGTCACGTAAGGACACCTCTCATGGTTCCGTTCTTAGACCGGCGCTTTTTAATATGTATCTTAGAGAAATTAAGAAGTCGCTAGACCCGGGCACACCGTTACTCAATTCGCTGACGATATCGTCATATTTGCTTCAAATTCCAGCACTAGGAACGCACTGCACTCGGTTGAGCGGTCTCTCAATAATATTCAATCTTTTCTGTCAGATCGATGTCTTGAGATTTCTCCTAATTAAAACTCAAATGATGATCTTTACATAAAGGAGGAGCTCTCCTCAGGTTGATCTTTCTGTAAAGTTGAAGGAGCATTACATTCTTCCCTCCCCTCAGTGAGATTCCTAGGCATTGTTCTTGATCCTAGATCCTCAGGCAAGAACACATGGAACATGTAACGTGTAAAGGAAAACGTCTGATCTCTGTTTATTTGTGCTCAGGGAGCACATAATGGGGAGCTAACCCCAACCTTCTTTCCATCTGTAGATCCATAATACGAGCTTCTTCAAATATGCCTCTCTCATTTTCGCCCTTAATAATAATCAGGCCCTAATTAAGCTCTAACTGGTTCAAAATCAAGTCTTACGTCTTGCTTGCGGGTATCGCAACTCCAATTAATATCATGCACGCTGAACTCAAAGAACACCCTCTTACACAGAGACTCGAATATTTAGCCGCTAAATACTTCCTCAAAGTCTGTTGCGACATTACATAAAATTTAAACGCGACAAATGGAAATTAAGGGTCAATGGCGCCATCCATTGATTCCTTCCGTGAATCTTGCGTCGCAGATGCCGCGCCGTCTCGCGAACATTATTCTAGCAATTTCGGCGAGTTACCGCGTGATTGGACAATGCTTAAACTGATGTCGTTGTCACCTGCCGATTTGTCGCGCTAATCGCGCTATCTGAAGCTACCGTTTCAGGTAACGCAACTCTCCCCTTAGAATCAAGTAAGAGTTCGTCGTGACAAGCCGTTTCTCAATTCCGTCACGAAGTTCAGAAAAGCTACCGGTCTCCCGCGACCGCGAGTCGATAGAACACCACGATTCCAGAATCAAGGATAGCCAGGTGTATCATTCTCAAGTCATTCGCAAATTCGTCGCCGAGTCCGTTGAACGCAGCAGCATTCGTGCCACGTGTGCGCTACCGCGACACGCCATTTGTATAGTTTATCACGGCTGCCGCTGTGCATGATTATCGCCACGTTAGCTATCGCTAAGTGTTTCTTTCTAACAGTCATTGTGCAACGTTACCGCCATGCAATTGAGAGGCGTTTGACAATAAAGTTTATATAACAAGTTAATCAGAGTGCGCAGTGTCTACCGTCCAGTCCACCGATCCCACTACGTGAGATCTCAATCGAGATCAAAACAGCGAATTTCACACATAAAAGTCGGTCCTTCGAGCCGGATTCGCGTGGCGGATAAACCGCAAAGGACATTGTGACTTCGCACAAGGAGAGTGAGCATAATCGCGCTTCTCTATTCATTATTCGCATACCGCGTGAGTAACATTGCCTACTTCAAGATTTCCGTCTCAGTCAATCGCAACAAGATTGTCCGTAACGTGTCAGGCTGACACTCGGTTATTCGCTGAAGAAGATCTCCGTCCGTGAATCGCGGAGACATATCAAGTTACTGTGAAGGTTGCCATCTCGATAATAAGTTACGGAAACTGCTCCATGATGGAGGATTTGCTATTGCAACAGCGAGTGGCGATGCGCACTGTAAAACGAGCTCTGGACAACTTGAAGAAGATTGGTCGTGCGAATCATACCTACGGCATCGTTCGGAATCGGCTTTAGACTCTCAAGGAAAATTACGCTCGTTGCGAGCTATTGCACGCGCAACTTCTCATGGTCGCCACCAACGAGCAAAAGGAAGCCGAGAAATACTTCAAGGAGGACGTTTTCGGCGAGCTGGATGACGTCTACAACTCAGCTTCGGACTACATCGTAGACGCCCTTGGAGTTCTCGAGACAGGCCACGCACCAACCAAGTCCATGGTTATCCGTGAGTCACGCCCCGCAAACCGAAAGAGCTACTGCCCCGCTACCGCGTATTAATTTATCGAAATTCTTGGGCGAGTTTCGAGAGTGGGAAACATTCCGCGATCAATTTCGCTCAATGGTCATCGACCACGCCGAATTGTTAAATGTTGCGTGCCTGCAATATCTTTATTCATGTTTAAAAGACGAAGCTCGGGACGTATTGCGTAACCTCCCCCTAACCAAAGTGAATTTTCAAGTAGCGTGGGATATATTGCTCGCGCAGTATAATGACAAGCATCGGTTAATATCGGAACATATTCACGCTCTTCACACGATACCGGTTGTGAATAACGAAGCAGCGTGAGTTCCGCGCAGGAACTCACGCTGCTCCGAGATAAAGCTACTATGTTAATTCAGTCGTTGCAAAATTTCGATCGTTCCGTTAAATGGTGGGACGACTTGCTCGTCTATTTGGTCGTGCAAAAACTCAATAAGGCATGGAAGTTACATTTGGATAAGCAAACGGAATATCCGTCGTACAAGGATCTTTATAATTTCCTAGCATCGCGCATTCGAGAATATTCCGACAGCAAGTACGACCAAAATAAAGGCAACGAGCATGTCGTCCGTTCAAAGTCACACGACCAACGCGATCGAAACTCATTGTCCGATTTGTAAACAAAATCATTTCTTGTCAGCCTGCCCCGATTTCAAACAGAAAACGGCTACCCAGCGTCGCGACCTTGTTATAAAATTTCGCCGGTGACTAAATTGTCTAAGCACTCGACATTCTAAAGCAACGTGTCAGAGTAAACACAGTTGTCGTCAATGCCACCAAAGGCATCATTCGATGCTTCACGAAGCGACACCAGCGAAAACCGCCGAGGATTCACTTGAATCCAACGAAGCAGGAAAGTCTAATGACAACCAAGTCGCTTCACATTTAATCACGCAAACAACTTTTGACAAGTCGCGTGTTTTCTTGGCTACCACAAGGATTCAGGTGCATTCCTCGTCTGGTGGAACAGATATAATACGCGCGTTATTGGATCAAGGCTCTGTCACTAGCTGAATTAGTGAAAACCTCGCTCAACCGCTACGGTTACCGCGAATGCGCGTCGCCATCTCAGTCACCGGAATCGGTGAGACGAGATCCGTCGCACGGCATGCTGCCACGATTTCGGTATCCTTTCGTGCCGGCACGGGTCCGTCATGCTCAACTACCGCAATTATTTTACGTTCTTTGACAAAGTACACTCCGCCAAAAGTATATCATCATATCAGAGCTCATTCGCCCATTTAAGCGAACTTCAATGGGCTGATCCGCAGCCCTCAAGCGCCGACCCGATCGAAATGATCATCGGCGCCGATCTATATGGTTCCGTTCTGTTACCGGGTCTCCGCAAAGGTTCCGCCGACAGGCCAGCGGCACAGAACTCCATTTTCGGCTGGATTATTTCCGGACCGATTTCAACGAGTTCATCTTCTCACGCGTGTCACGTGTCCGTGCACCACACGACACTGACCTCACATCTCAATGATGAAATTCGACGGTTCTGGGAGATCGAAGAACTTCCGCAACTCTCATACTTCACCCCTGAGGAACAACGTTGTGAAGAACATTTCCGAACAACACATTCTCGCGATGCTAATGGACATTACGTCGTACGGCTACCGTTCAAAAGCAATACCCCTCTTCAAATTGGCGAATCACGGCACATTGCCTTATCGCTTCTCTCACGTTCTGAAGGCCGCCTTCAAAATCAGACAGATATCGCTACCGAATACTGAGAGTTCCTACTGGAATACGAAATCTCAATCATATGACAAAAGTCGACACCAGCAGCTACCGAACAAGCAGTTTACATTCCGCATCATGCCGTGATTTGTGAACATAGCAGCACCACGCGACTGCGCGTCGTGTTCAATGCCTCTCAGTCGACGTCGAATGGATCTTCGCTTAACGATCATTTCATGATCGGTCCAAAGCTACAAACCGACCTTCGCTCGGTAATCCTTCGACGGCGACAGCATCGTTACGTCTATACTGCCGATATCGCTAAAATGTATAGGCAGATTCAAGTCTATCCGCGAGATCAAGACTATCAGCACATTCTATGGTGATCGTCATCATCCGATCCGGTACAAGACTACCGCTTGCGCACCGTTACCTACGGTACTGCGTGTGCGCCATATTTCGTTCTTCGCACGATTCAATAATTAATGCATGACAAAGGCGTTCAATTTCCTCTCGCTCAGTCCGTTTTGCGCCATCAAATCTATGTTGACGATTGCATTTTCGGCGCGGATGATAAGCCTCTGGCGATACAAATCCGCAGTCAACTAACTTCATTGTTAAAAAAGGGTGAATTCCATCTCCGTAAATGGGCAAGCAATTGCCCTTCGTTACTCAACGACTTGCCGTTGACTCAACAGAGTCTGAATAAAGGTAAGATACTACAAGACGAGGAAAGTTTCAAGGTCCTCGGAATCACGTGGTTGCCGGCTACCGATTCATTTCACTTCTCAATCGACATAACGTCACCTGCTTCCGATACGAAACGAACAATTCTGTCGCAAAATTGTTTGACCCGCTCGGATGGCTCGCTCCAGTCGTAGTTACAGCCAAAATTATAATGCAACAATTATGGGCAACGAAATGTCTGTGGGATGATCCAATTCCACCGTGGCTTATGCAAAAATGGCAACATCATCACGCGCAGCTGCCTCAACTGCGTAAAATTTCTATGCCGCGATGGACTGAGTTAGGCTCCGATACTAGTCACTATGAGCTTTACGGCTTCGCGGACGCGTCGTCAGTTGCGTATACCGCAGTCGTATATCTGAAAGTGATCTCGCTTTCAGGCTCCGTTACCGTATCGCTACTCATGACAAAGTCAAAGATCGTTCGTCTTAAACCCTTGACAATTTCACGACTCGAGTTATCCGCCGCAGTGTTATTATTGACTCGAACGATGTCGTTCGTTAGAATGACATTTGAGCTATCTAAAATTCCGTGTCATTGTTGGAAGGACTCAACCGTCACTCTCGCTTGGTTACGCCAATCTCCGTCTCGATAGAAAACGTTTTTCGCGCATCGCGTACACGCTGCGCAAACGCAACTTCCGGATGCCATCTGGCATCACGTTTCTGCTCATCACAATCCTCGGATCCCGCGGAATTTCCGCATCTTCGTTAAAAGAAAGCTCAATGTAGTGGCAAGGTCCCGATTGGCTCAAACTCCTGTCGAGCCAATGGCCGAATGTAAACCGGCAACAAGACTTCGAGACATCGCTCGAACGTCGTTGTGCAAACGCTCTATAGCGAATCCGAATGGGACTTAGCTTCCCGCTATTCCTCATGGCCAAAACTTCTTCGCGTAACTGCCTATCTAATATGCTTCATTAATAAGCTACGAGATCGTAGCACCAAACGGCGATCTCCGAGCAACGATACGAGGTCCATTCCACCCGACGTCGTTGCGGTGGACGAATATCAAAACGCACGAATATTTTAACTGCTCGTCACTCAACAGAATCTGTTTCGCGAGGCTATTGTTCGATTACAGAACTCAAACACCGTAACGCAAACGAATAAATTAATATCACTTAATCCATTGTTGGATGAAAACAATTTAATTCGCGTCGGCGGCGGATTACGAAAATCGGAACTCTCGTATAACGTCAAATATCCCATTGTACTCGCCACGCATCCCCTGGTAACGTTGATAATTCAACACGCTCATTCGCGCGCGCTTCACGCTGGCAGTTAATTAACATTACATGTTTTACGCGAAGACTTCTAGATTCTTCGTGCTCGCCAACTGTGCGCTTCGTCTTTTATCGTTGTGTTCCTTGAGATAATGAGCGATTTCCCTGCGATGCGCATACGACAAGTCGATCGCGTCTTCACACATTGCGGCCTTGATTATGCCGGGCCCGTTCCTGTTAGAATGAATTCCGGCCGCGGGAATAAATCGCGGAAAGCGTATATATTGCCGTATTTATCTGCATGATGACTCGCGCCATCCATCTCGATTTAGTCAATGACTATACCACCGACTTTCTAGCCGCATATGCGCGCTTTTGTTTCCGTCGCGGGGTGCCTACCGACTTTTACGCAGCGAGCTGTCGTGCAACGGAGTCCGTTGGCACTTCATACCTCCCCCCCCCCCCCCCCC